TTTTCTTAAAAACCCCAAATCAAATATCTCCAAAAGATATATATGAAAAACACCCTAAGAAACATAAATGGTTCTAAATAATCATTTCATCCACGCTCCTGTGAGAAAAAGAAACCACCGGCGAGCTTTTCTCCAGAAATAAAGTTACGAGTTATGAAGAAATCAACTGGAATGAAAACTCTTGAAGTCAAAAATAAATTCCAAACATGAAAAGTGAGGTTATGCCAACAAGTGACAAACAGAGAAAAAGGCGAAAAGTGAATAGTGCTGAAAAAATGAAAATGTGGAAATGACGCGGTCCTAAAAAGAAGTTGTCAATCCACAGAAAGGAGTCTCGGAAACCATTCTCGAGCATTCGAAATGACACCAACTCAACGAGAGATCGAACTCGGAAAAAGAAAAATCAACGGAAAAAAAATCCGTGAAATTTGAAAAAAATGAAAGAAAGAAAAATGACCGGGTCATTACAGATTTCTCAAAGCCAACTTGAGTTTGGAGATGAAATCTTGAAAACGGTGGTAGAGCAAAAAGCATCCGAAGGGCCGGAATAACGCCAGGGAAATGGGTCGGAACAAAGCCGATAAATGGGCCGGAGCAACACTGGGAGACATCCGGCTAATCCTTTTGAGAAATAAAAAAGATCCGGAACAAAGCCGGTAAAAGGCCGGAACAAAGCCTGGGAATAGTCGAAACAAAGACGAGAAATGCCGGAACAACGCCGGGGAAGTGGCCGGAACAACGCCGGGGAAGTGGTCGGAACAATACTGGAAAATAGTCGGAACAACGCTTCGTAGCGTTGACTACCATCGATGAAAAAGGACTGCGTGGGCACGTGTAGTGCAAGTTAAATCTACTTCGCAAGAGCGTCAGCACGTGACGGTGTGGGACGTTGCTTGGAAGCGCGTGGTTGATCGAAAAAGGAAAACAAAGAAAGATCTAAATGAGAAACGGATTAGATTTTATTGGTCTTCTCCTTCACTGCTTTCTGTAATCAGTAAAAAAAAAAAAAAAAAAAAAAAAAAAAAAAAAAAAAAAAAAAGGGGGATCTAGGATCGTTGCTATGATATATAATATATATTTCAATATATAGTATGCATATATATATATTGTTTTTTGTTCTTATTTAAATTATATATATATTTTTTATACTGCGCCCCCTCTAAATTAAAATCCTTGCTCCGCCTCTTATTATAGAGTTTAAAAAGAATTAAATATACGTAGTCTTACTTTTGCATGCGGGGAGAAGATTCCTATATCAAACCTTGATCTCCAGCTAAAAATACAACCACCTTGTCGTTGAACAACCTTACCAACCCTACATTTCTGAAATACCACTAGTATTTTCTGCTGCTCTATCGACTAACGTGAAAATAAATACATTTTTTTGGGTATCCCACTCAGCAATAATAGCAGTTAACTGACGACGAACTCTCTCCAATCTCCATCTAATCTGGAGAGTTTATGGGACTCCTATTTTGTTTAATGGCTCCAATTTTACCATAAAATTGGTAATTTTAACCAATTTGATTTCTTCCAAATGTTAAAAGGTTTAGTTTATCCTACATTAATTTTAAAGTAATAAGAATGATTTGAACTCGCTTGTTGTTTGATAAAGTTTATCCTACATTAATTTTAAAGCAATAAGAATGATTTGAACTTATTTGTTGCTTGCTCTTTGATAAAACTAAAAAACAAGTACGGAAAATTTTAAGTGATAATTAAAATATAAATATTTTTTACTATTTAAAAAAAATATGTTAGCGTCCAGAGTAACAAGTGATACTCTGTACGTTAAAATTTTATCCTATTTTAAGTAGGACTACTTTTTAACGCTTAATCTGTTTAGAATTAAGTACCAAATTGAGTTATCAAACATATGTTTAGTATTTAATGGCCTCAAATTCTCAATACAATATCTTTAGTGTCGGCTTCATACTGGGATTTTCCATCAAACGTGATTAATTCAAGAAAGTCATGTAGGAATGAATAAAGAACTTTTAACGCTTAATCTGTTTAGAATTAAGTACCAAATTGAGTTATCAAACATATGTTTAGTATTTAATGGCCTCAAATTCTCAATACAATATCTTTAGTGTCGGCTTCATACTGGGATTTTCCATCAAACGTGATTAATTCAAGAAAGTCAAGTAGGAATGAATAAAGAACCCATCTAAGCGGCAATACAAAGAAATGAAAGAGGTTCGATTCTATTTATTTGTACTGTTATATGTTCTGTAATAGACTATATTTAACAAACAACTAATTTAACCTCTCGAATAACACTAATAGATATATAGTGTGGTAGAAATAAATATTCATATATTTATTTCCACCATACTAGTTTTGAACGTAAATCTCACAAATCCAGTAATTTATCACATACGAAAACAAAAACTTAAACCATGTGAAGAATTTCTTTTATCTTTTTGTTGTTCAAGGCCGCCTATACCTTCAAAAATTCTTCCGGGCTCCATGAGAGTGGATAGGGTTCTTCAGATAAATCACTTAACAATTTATTATCACAGTTCTTGACATAAGAATTAAAGGATAATTCAAATTGAGTTGAAGAACATAGTCACGTATATTGGACACATTATTAGTTCAGATAACTATATATATATATAACCATGCATAATACAAGCTCTCACATCTCAATAAATGGATCTTAGATTTGTTACAGTTCACTAATATTAATCCCACCACATATATGTGAGGAGCTGCTTTTCTGGTTTCAGTTTTACTGACTATGGTTTATCAGCGATTGCAACTTCGGGAGGCATGGAGTACTGAAATTCAATACTGGGAGGAGTGCGAGGATTGGTATTTGAAGATCCGGAGTGATGAAAATCGTTTTGGTATGATCCAATTTTACTATCTTCGTCTGCAAAACTCGTGACAACAGCATGAATTAATGAGAGAGACAGACATATCACACACACACACACACACAACACGCAGAGACAGAGTGTACTTACAGCTACTGGGAGTGGTGGATAATTTTGGCGCGGAGAGTAGAGGTGAAACCATGATAATCCAAATCATGAACAAGCAGCATATGACAGAAGAAGTGGTCGGAGAAGCTTTGCTTATCATTTTTAATTTCTTCTACTTATGCTTTTGATCCCACTTTTCATGCATATATTTATACATACATTTTACGGTCCCCGCTAAAATAACAATCGCCCACCCTCACTATACATTAGATCCGTGGCTGCCCAAGTCAACACTCCTAAATTTAGTGTTGTTAATTGTCAACAATTCACATCAATTAAAGCAGTCAAGAAACAAATAGTGATGCAAAACGCGCTTTTTATTTTGAAGCATCTAAGACCATTATTTACTCTTATAAGGGACAGAGACCAAGAGCTGAAAGACCACAGATCAGTCATCATAATATGGACCTTTTTTAATGAATCAAATAGTGATGTTAGCACAAGCAAGAGGACATAAAACTACCCCCGTAGGCGTCAGCAGAGTTGGTGGGAGGGGAAGTTTCTAAATGTTAGAAGATCGTATCTAGCATTTAAGTGTGGGTTCGATTTTCCTCCAACGTTACAAGTTTCTAATTTACCTGTTACTCACATTGTAGGATCGGAATGGGAAACCGAGGGTTTATCTGATAACTATAAATCCAAAGTGCGAGTAGTTGCGTGGGGTTCTCACGTCGTCAAAAAAAAAAAAAAAAAAAAAAAAAAATGAAAAAACCTCCAACATCATCACTTCTTATTGGGGCTTTTACATGGAAAAAATTATAATCAAGGGCAATCGAAAACGCAACTATTCACGGGGCATGTGTGGGGTGGACACCACTCGACATACTTTTGTCCAGCAAAAAAAAAAAAAAAAATTTGCTTCATTCCTTAAGTTCGATACCCAAACACGAAAATGAGGAGTAATTAAAATGTAACTGAAGGACAGTCAACCTACCAAGGTACAAGACAATTTCCTACTCCAGTGTGTTTTCTTTTTTTTATTTAGGCTCAGTGTGTTTCGATATAAAATATTCTTTTTTGTAAAATTTTTTTATTTTAAGTAAAATATTTTTTTATTTTTACTTTGTCAGTGTTAGGCAAACATTTACGTCGAGGTTGAAGTAGAGTTCATCGGGCAAGGTATGTAAAATAACTTGTCGAAAATTGATGAATAAGTTATTTTTGTTAAATTTTAATCTTTTTTTTTTTCGTAAATATTTTACGACAACCAAACATCATAAAATAAAAAAATATTTTTTTAAAAAATGTAAAGAACTAAATTAATCGTCAAAGACCCTAGCACCACACCAACTGACATATTGACAGAATGGAAATAGAGAACTTGGGCCTTTGGCCACAAGTACCACATGCCCTACCAACTAAGCTACCCCCCTTGGAGGCCCGACGTTCCCGTCGGCACACTTCCGGCTAGGTTAGGCTCTGATACTATTTGTAATGACCTACTCCACTACATGGTATGATATTATTCGCTTTGGGCCTGAGCCGGCACTGTTTTGATCTTTGGTTTCATCCCAAAAGGCCTCATACCAATTAGAGATGACACACTTACATATAAGCACTTCACCTTTCCTCTACCCAGGCGATGTGGGACTTGTGCACCCGTAACCCACCAGCGTGATAGCCTAACAATGTCTCTCGCACCCGCCCACGGTGTACCCGCCTGCAAGGTCATTACAATCCACATCCGCCCACGGCACATCTTGCCTCGACATAAAATAGTTTAAAGGTTGGGCTTTTAAATGGCCCAAACCGTTCATTGTGTTAACATAAAATAGTCTAAAGGTTGGGCTTTTAAATGGCCCAAACGGTTCATTGTGTTATATAACTAACATAACTTTTATATCAATATCACAGATATCCATTTTTAATGCATACTTTTAAGCTATAATTCATTAATTGTACAAAAATACGAGTAATATATTATCAATTTATTTTATTTTTATGTCCTCGAAAAGAACTCACAAATCTTGAGAAGATTTAAACCCCCAACCATTCACTTTAAAGACAAATAAAGATATCACTAAGTCTCAAAGTAGAAATACCACTAAATCACAGATCTTGATCTTATTGAAAGACGTTACTAAAAGCTTTTTAAGTTGTTGGTCCAGTAAGCTGTGTCACTCAGAAGATCCAATCTTCCCAAAGGAAAGTATACAAGGAAAAAAGGGATGTTATATGTTGGTTTAGGTAATATCCATTTGATGGCAATACATTAGCAAAAAATTTATGGTCATCAAGGACACAAATGAAAGAGCAGTGGAGTTTCAAGATTCATTCAGAAGATCTTTCGAATAAGAAACTCGCCATCTCTGCTCAAAGTCGCAACTATCCAATGGCAGAAACAGATTGCCTTCTACTTGGATACAGATACCAGAAAGCTTGATTAAGTCTTTACTCGTACCAACAAACAAGGTCCCAACTAGTCATCTATTTGCAATGACTTCGTGAATGATACCGGATTATCAGAGATAGCATCTATTCGATTGGTTTTCTCTTCCTCCCAAGAACAGAAGCTTTCTGAAATCTGGGGCCACCCATTCGCCACTTTTTAAACGCTGTCATTGAGGATTGAGCAGCCTCGTACACTTCAAAAAGCACAACAATGAGATCAAATGTTCATCATTTCATAATAGAAGGTAAGATTAGAAGACGTAATTAAACATGTCAAGTAAAGCCTCACGTTTTGCTTCTTCTTTTGTCAGAATTGACAAGAATTTGGAAGCCACTGACAAAGCTGCAGTGTGTGCCTTAATCAGGACTTCCTTGTACCTGGTCTGAAATGCAAATAAGAGGAAGGATCCAATGGTTTTGTCACTAACCCTGTATCAGAAGAAAACAAGGTCAGCACGAAAGCAATATTTTATTGACCTTAAAAAAATATGGCTAGCAAAAGAAAGCAGAATTAACAAAAAAATTTGCAACCAATACAGCTTATTAATTAACCCAATTCCATCAAAGAATGGCAAACAGCCCATTTATCTACATTTAGATAATTGCATCAAATATGCTGTAGTCCATGCAGATGTACTCAACTAAATAGCACCTGCTCAAGAATGACAAACACCCCCCCTTTTTTTTCTCTTTTTAACAAACAAACACCCCATTGACCTTACACAACCTGATAAGTGGAGCTTAGGTTCAAAATATACCCTAATAGGTAATCAGGAAGGGCTGTATTGTATTTGATACACAAACAGGTAAATTACAAACTCATTTAACAACCATAGATTCAAATCCACCAAAAAATCTATGCAAATAAGGGAGGACAAACTAGAGGTGACCGTGTAAGAAAGAAAAAAGCCCAAAGGCATATTTTCTCAATTTCCTATAAATGTTTCTCTGATTTAGTTGTTCTTTTTTATTTCGCACAATATGTTATTAGAAGACTAACAAGGTGTTCGATTTAGTGCATTCCTAGACATGAAACCCAAAAGCACAGGGCACAAGATATTGTCTGGGAAATACGCCTAAATTCTATAATATAACCTAAAACCGATCCTCTGATTCAAAATAAAAATAAGACAATAACTAAAAATCTCCATATTGATTCCAATGGCAATGATAATCAAACATAGCAACCATGTAAAACCTAATAGGCTAATATAATTGTAGGGATGGAACTGCATGAAGCCCCCCCCCATGTAAAACCTAATAGGCTAATATAATTGTAGGGATGGAACTGCATGACCCCCCCCCCCCCCCCCCCCCCCCCCTCTTTTTCCACATGAATGGTGAGTTTCAAAAATGTTAAAAGATTTAACGTGTGATACTCCTAAAACCTATAGAAATCCTGAATTTGGGCCTTCTTTTTCCTTACTTTCAGAAGCCCATGTTTGAGCACGAAGTTAGAAAATCTAAATATAACCAGTAGTCCTCCTCTTCATCTCATTTCATGCATTTAATGGATTACGAAGTACTTATGGTTTATAAATAATCTTCTTGGATATCTTTGTATTATTAAAATATATGAAAACATCAATTATAAAAAAAATTAAAAATTTGATGTTTATAAATTTTGATATTCTCACTACTAGTTCAAGACCCCTAGTGAAAATTCTTGGGTCTACCCTGCATGGCTGCATAATTATAAAAGGGCTAGCCCAATGCACGAGGTTTCCGCCAATGTGGGGTCTAGGGAGGGACAGATATACATAGACTTACCTCCACATGAAGAGAGGTTGTTTCCTGCCTCCAGGTCACAATGGAGCAACCTTACCGTTGCGCCAAGGCTCACCCTCACCCCTGCATGATTATAATTGAAAAACAAAAAAAAAAATGCCTTGTATGTAAGTGTTATGTTATATGGACTTGGACAGCGGGTAAGCGTCTAAGTCCCGGAACTCTTTGAATAATATCAAGTCTTAGGGTACGAGGACTTAAATGTGTCCGAAAGGTAGGCACCGGTACGTAGAACAAGTCCTAGACATTTAACTACATTATAATATAAAATAGTCTAACATATCAGTTTTTTAAAATATTTATGCTTAGCATTTAAATTAAAAGGATATGGTGAAAAGATGAGTTTCCATATACCTTGGAGTAAGAAACCCTTCTCTGCTATGAAATTTGAGATACTTCTTCTCTCAAATTTTTTTTTTTTTTGATAAGTGAAGTAGTATAGAAAGCGTTTAAAAGGGGAACGCATCCCAAGAATACACAGAGGCCGAAGCCAAAGCCAAAAGAGGGATCCTAAGGACCCAAAGAGGCCAAGAAATCAACAATATCCTCTATAGATGTACAATATCTGCCCATACCCCAACAAAAAATGAAGCTAATAATACGGAATTTCAAAGTTCCTATGGGAGACTCCTCCCCATCAAAAGATTCTTCTTAAATCTCATGAAGATAAGGTTGTCAGGTTTGGGTTTAAAATTGTGTGGAGTCGTGACGACAATGATATGTTAAAGGAAATAGGAGGGCCATGTAACACAATTCAACCTTCAACATAATCTCATGTTCTCTAAACCAAAGTGACATGAAGAGAGACTCAATTAGCACCTTGAAGAATTGGTTTCCATAGGCCATAATGATTTAAAGATTATATTTGGTAGCAAAACACTAATGCTCCTCCTAAGACCTTTTTGGACATAACCTAAAATTTGAATCGTAGATTTTTAATCTTTCACCATTTCGCGGATTTTTTAAAACTGATATTGTAAGTGTTCTAATGTGATAATAATTCCTGATGTAACATCTCGCTTAACAGGCCAGTTTAAACATAGTTAAAGATAGACCACGTTTGATGGGTTAAGATTTGCATAGAACAAATTACCAGAGGGAGAGGGGGAAAAGAGACTCACAGTGGTGCTATTTTGTATCCTAATTCATAGAAGTATTGGCAACGATTCCTTAGATCCACATGTGCACCATCAGCCTCAATTTCGTCCCTTGTTCTACAAAAAAGAGAGCTTTGTAAGGGACAGATGATTAATAAAATTAACGCACCATGTTTCAAATGAAACTTGTACACAAACAAGCACTTTGCCATGCATCTACAGTGCATAGTAGAGGCATGAAGGGATTCCAAAGAGTGTTAATACTGAATTATTTGACCAAATGAAATCCCAGTGCACCATATTCTCTCGGGTGTCCAGACAATACAAAAAGGGAAAAAAAAAAATTGAAACGAGACAGGAAACAATCAATAATTCAGATATTGGAGTACAAAATCATTGTTCCCTGGTCTTAAAGAATACATCAGAGGTTCGCATCCAGTTGCAAAGGCTTTATATGACATAATGTATGTAAATAAGGCCATATTAGGTAATCAAGCCAGTAAAAACTCCTTTTGTACTATTTTTAACGGGCATAAAAGCATCAGCAAGAGTTATTAAGAAAATTACTTTTTATTGAAACAGTGGGGAACATTGATTGCTGCTGCTTGTCTAAGGTGCAACTCACGAGCAAGCCAGAGAGGCAGCTCTACCTTTGAACCTTGTTCCACCTGAGAATGAGAAACATGTCCATCAGAGCAGAGCCAGTGACCATCCCCTTTTACTGAAGCTTCCATCAGAATTTACCTTGTTGGTATCATCACTGGAATAAAAGAGCCCAACTCCATTTGCTGCCTCTTGGAATATGGCTGGCACAAGCTGCAAGTAAGAGAAAAAACAGAGCTAAATAGTAACAGGAGAAGTTCAGAAAAAATAAAAAAATAAAAAATGGAAGTAAGACAATCCAAAATGAGAAGGAACAGGTATTAACCTCATCTTCGGCTAAAATATCATCAATGTCATAATATTGTGCCATTCTGGGAAGAAGAAAGAAAAAACTGTATGTTGCTCTTATAGAATTCTCCAGTACAGCTTACTGAAGCAGATAATGTATTCTTAACCAACCCTATATATCAACTGTCAGCTCCCCACATGAGCTGCGCCCCCAAAAATGAAGGTACTGACAATCAACTGTTAGCAAGACAAAAAAAGTATTGATTGTTAACAGTTAACACTGCCTCATCAAAAAGTGTGTGTATATATATATATATATATTCCCTTCAAATTCTTCCCTTTATTTCCTCTAATTTCCATCAATCCAAACAGGCTCTGCGGGAATCATGTCCCCCATTTTATAGCTTAAAATGCAAAAAGAAGAAAACCTGAACTATCAAAGTTTTGCACCAAAAAAAAAAGGGGGAGGGGAAATAAAAAGCTCTGAACAACAAAAAAGAACTCTTGATCTATCCAACATTTGCAAATAGTCCGCTGTTAAAGGCACTGTAAAATTACCCAAGTGCTCTCATAGAAAGAAAAACAAGAACACCCATCAAAATGCAACACTCTCCTGAACTATCATAGTTTTGCAAAAAAAAAAAAAAATGAACCACCTGAACTATTAATTTGGTAAAAGAAACCCCTAAACTCTGCAAAAGATTTGCAATACACATACATATAAATGTGTGTACAAATGAAAATGTGTATATATGAAATTAATGGGTAACTCATTTGCAAAGAAAACTAAGCAAAATGACAATTTAATTATATGGGTAAATCAATAATTTAGCATTACAGGTAACAAAAAAGGACTATTTGCGAAAAAATTGATAGTTTAGGGATTTTGTTTGCAATGTCAGGGGGTATTTGCAAAAACTTAATAGTTCAGGATTTTTTTTTTTTTTTTTCTTTTATAATATTGTAGCATTACGACTGGGTGAGGGACATAATGGTCATAAAAGCCACTTCCATTACATTTTTTATGGAAATATAACAGCAAGAGGGACATTGCATATCGTTTAAATAATTTGGGGGTTCTTTTACCAAATTAATAGTTCAGAGATTTTTTTTTGTTTGTAAAACCATGATAGTTTGAGGGGATTTTTTGCAATTTACCCTATTATATAAGCAATATGACACAATTATATAAACTATAGGGTAACTAATTGAGTTAATTGATCAGGGTATAACATAAAAAATTGTCAAATTTTTTTTTCTAAAGCCATATCAAGTCGGATATTCTTCTGAAGTGTCAAACAGTGCAATTAATTTTGACCATCCTCTATGTAAATTTTTATAGCAATTCATCAAAATGATAAAATCATTCCTCTAAGAAAGCTAATAGATGAACTAGTCTCACTGGGTAAAAACAATATCCAAAATTTCAAAGTACAAACCCCCTACATGCATTTATTTCATGAAATTAAAAAGAAAAATAGCAGAGCATGATATATAACATTATAATCATATATCGAATTTTAATACACTGAAATTATATACATATATTAACAAATATATATCACTAACAACAGGAAAGGCTATCATAACGGAATTCAAATTGCGAAGCAAGAAAGAAAAAAAAGAAGAATCTAAAGAGAATGCAGAGAGATTAAAGAAACTAAAGAATCAACAGATCTCGCTCTTGTGATTTCGAACCATTAATGCATACATATGTGTGTTGTGTGTGTGTGTGTGTGTGTGTGTGTGGAGAGAGAGAGAGTCAGGGCGGCTTACAGGATAGAGAGAGAGAAGAATTAAGAGATCTATGAGAAGACGGAGGAGCCAAGACAACGCGAGGACCAGAATAAATCAAAGGCGCCAATGCGATTCAAATTTCGAGCCCTAAGCGAGCCTCACTATTTATCAGTGAAATTATTTCGCAGCACACCATTTGGGATGTTCGGGTTTTTAATCGGCTCACTCTTCTACCGACCATTTCACCAGCCCGATAAGGAAAACAAGCCCCGACCCGGAATCTTCTCCGACCTATAAAAAATGTGCCGTGACTAGAAAAATTACCTAAACACTTGCTTGAAATTAGGGTGCACAGTGGAGGAAAAAAAAAAGAGGTGCACAACACTAGAATTGGATGCATTTGAAAATACTTTGAAATCAAAAAGTCTAAATAAAAACTAATCGTGAAGAGTTGAAGATTAATGAAATGGAATCGTTTTTTTGAAAAATTATTGAATGAAGAAAAATAATAAGGAAGAGAACAAAATATGAACACAGTTGTACAAAATTAAGGGAAAAAAATTACAAAAGCAATGCAGATGTATATACAAGAGAGTAATAAAGATTTATATACATGTGCATATATAGAGGTTCAAAAAAATTACGCACCAAGCCTTCAACAGGCAACAACATCCTCCATATAAAAACACCATGGCAGTACTTAGGTCTAGAGAGGGGGGAGGGTAAGGATCAACGGTGGCAACGGTGAGGATCGACGGTGGCGACGGTGAAGAAGAGAGTCAGAGAGAGAGAGGAGGATGTGGTGTTAACTGTGAGGGTATGGTAAATTATTTTATTATATATCCACATACTTGTCCATTCAGTTCGGTTCTAAAAATTCCAGTCAGAACCATAAAATAATGGTTTCATATTTTTGGAATTACCGAACCCTCAACCTTTTTTTTTTTGTTTTTGTTTTTCACCCCTACTTGAAATTTCGTTTATGAAATTCTATTATTATTATTATATATATTTTGTCATTTGAAATTCTATATTGATTATGTCACCTAATACTATTTAATGACTTTAACAACTTAATGAACTATAATTAACCTCATAAGGAACTTAATGATATAGATTGACCTTTTTGTTCTTGGATGACTTTGGATTCGAATAAAAACCCGATTAACAATTCGGACTCTCAAATTTGAGTGGTTACAAATTAGTTTGCGGCAGTTGTATCTTGATTTAAAAACTCTAAGGAGTTCTTTTGCTGCTGGTTATATGGAAGAACAGAAATGTCAGACTTCATAGTGGTGATCAAAGTTCACATGAAAATGTTGCTAGAACCATGTTATTGGAGGTCAGGAGGTGCTTCAAGTTCAGAATGTTGTGTCGTGTTTTTACTGTTGGAAACAGGGTCATTAAAAACATAAACTTTGGAAGAAGTTTTGAATAGATTCCACTAAGAATTTATTGCGGATCTATAGACGAACGCGTTCCTCTATGCAAAGAGATGAACGTGGTATATTTACTTTCTCAAATCCGTTTCCGGGTAAATGAGAAATTAGCTCCAAAGTAAGGTGTTTGATAAAGCCTAAATGGGTTCGCAAAATGTGAGAAATGTTTGTCCCACATCAGAAAATTATTTAAACCAATTTAAGTTTAAATAAGCCTAGTATGAGATTTTGGTTTGCGCCCAAGGGCACCCAAGTTTTTAAGAAGGGGAGGACCTAGGCAAGCTTGGGTCCGAACCAACTACCACACACGCGTGCGCCGCCCACCCAGGCTTGGGCCAGGGCGGGGCTTGATTGTGAAATATGTTTAATTTTTTATTAAACGAAATTGGGCTTGTGTGATTGGATTTTAATTTTATTTTTGCTGGGCTTATTAAGATGGCCGAATTGGGCCTGTTTGTTGGGCTTCATAATGGATTTGATATTTAATTTAAATTAAAACCATAAAACAGTTTTTTTATGAACCATTATGAACCAATGGTTGCACCCTTTTGCATAATAAACCACCTGCAGTTTTCCTGAATCATTGTGAACCAATGGTTGCACCTATTTGGAAAAGGCACCATCTAGCCTATAAATACCCCTCCTTGGGTTCATTCCAAATCACACCAAAATTCAGATAATTCTTCTCTTCTTCTGAATTTTCTTCTTCCTCCTTCTCTCTTTAGTCTGTGGGTTCGAGCCTTAGTATTTGGGTTCGAGCCATAGTTAGTCACTTCGAGTCCGAGGTCGAGTCAGAGAGTATTGCACCGAGCCGGTTCGCCTATTCCTTTGGTTTGTAGTACTACTACCGAAGGAAGACAAGTCGTTGTATCCTGGGAGATAGACGCCACTGAGTCCGTTAGCACCATAGCGGGGCGAATCTGTCTTAAGGATATAGAATCAAATTCTAAACTCTACTTTTAATTAGGTTCCTTTATTTATAATTTTTTTTTATTTTATTAAACTATATATTATAAGTAATTATATATATAGATTATTATTTTATAATAATTATATATATATATATATAAACATTATATTTTTACATAATATTTAAATAAATAGTACTATAGTATATGGTATACTTAGACTATATTTTGGACAACAATCTTAAGACAGATTTTGCTTATACTATAATTTAATTATTTAAATATTGTTGTTATTTTATTTCTGTAAATTTGGTCTGTATATTTAATATATACCAGACAAATGGCAAGTACGAGTACTACTATGCCTAATGTTCCCGTCAGTCATGGGGAGAAGCCCGAAAAATTTAATGGGGCAGAGTTTAAAAAGTGGCAACAGAAAATGATGTTCTACCTTACAACTCTGAATCTAAGTAAGTATCTAACTGAGACTCCCCCAATGCTAGATGAGGGTGAGACTGACATTACCAAGCTAGGAGCTCTTGATACATGGAAGCATGGAGACTTCCTATGCAAGAACTACATCCTCAATGGATTGGACAACACTTTATAGAATGTGTACAGTCCAATAAATACTGCTAAAGAGCTCTGGGAGTCACTAGACAAAAAGTATAAAACAGAGGATGCTGGCTTGAAGAAGTTCGTGGTTGGACGATTTTTGGACTTCAAAATGATAAACTCCAAAACAGTCATGAGCCAAGTGCAGGAGCTCCAGCTGATCCTATATAAGATACATGCTGAGAAGATGACATTGAGTGAATCCTTTCAAGTAGCTTCAATCATTGAAAAGCTGTCACCTACTTGGAAAGATTTCAAAAACTACTTGAAGCATAAGTGCATGGAAATGGGGATCGAAGACCTGATTGTCAGGTTAAGAACTGAAGAAAATAACCACACATCTGAAAAGAAAGCCGGGAATTCTTCAATGGTGCCAAAGGCAAATGTAATGGAAGCTAGACAGAAGAATAAGAAGAGGAAGTACTCTAGCGAAGGTCCCAGCCAAGGCAACTACAAGAGGTTCACTGGGAAGTGCTTCATATGCGACAAATTAGGACACCGAGCTAAAGACTGTTGTAGCCGCAAAGCACAACACAACCCCAAGAAAAAGACCACTTAGGTGCACATTGCTGAGGAAGATAAGTTGACAGCTGATATGTCAGAGCTAAATCTTTCAGCTGTGATTTCTGAAATCAACCTGGTGAGCAACAATAAAGAATGGTGGGTGGACACAGGAGCTGTTCTTCATGTTTGCTCTGAAAAGAGGATGTTCACTACCTATAAAGCTATAGATAATGAAGAACAACTCTACATGGAGAACTCTTCTATTGTAAAAGTTGAAGGACAGGGAAAGATCAAGCTACTAATGACCTTAGGGAAAGAACCCACTCTTAATAATGTACTGCATGTACCAGACATCAGGAAGAACTTGGTCTCTGGGTCACTTCTAAGCAAGAATGGGTTCAAGCTGGTCTTTGTATCTAACAAGTTTGTGCTGACTAAGAATGGGGTGTATATGGGCAAAGGGTATCTAAGTAATGGACTATTTTAATTCAATGTAATGACTGTTGTACCCAAAGCTATTAATAATAATAATAAAGCTAATACTTCTTCTACTTATATGATTGAATTATCTGATGTGTGGCATGGTAGGTTAGGACATGTTAATTATGATACGATTCGTAGATTAATTAACATGGAGTCTATACCTAAATTTGTATTGATTTAAATCAAAGTTGTCAAACATGTGTAGAAGCAAAATTAACTAGAACCTTATGTCACTCTATAGAGCGAAGTACTGAACCTCTAGCATTAATTCACAGTGATATCTGTGACTTTAAATCTGTGCCAACTAGAGGTGGGAAAAAGTATTTTATTACTTTTATTGATGATTGCACAAGATACTGTTATGTATACTTGTTAAGAAGTAAAAATGACGCCTTGGAAATGTTTAAACATTACAAGAATGAGGTTAAGAATCAACTTGGTAAAAAGATAAAGGTGTTTAGAAGCGATAGAGGTGGTAAATATGAAGCACCACTCGCTGATATTTGCTTAGAACATGGTATTATTCACCAAACTACCGCTTCTTATTCACCTTAACAGAACGATGTTGTTAAACGCAAAAACCGTACCTTAAAAGAAATTATGTTGATAAGTTTTGGTTAACCCAGAATTTGTGGGGGAAGCTTTGCTTTCTGCTAATTATGTTCTCAACAAAATACCTTAAAAGAAAACAAATGTAACACCTTATGAGTTATGGAAAGGTTAAAAACCTTCCTATAAATTCTTAAAAGTGTGGGGGTGTTTAGCTAATGTTGCGGTTCCTACTCCTAAGAAAGTTAAGATAGGACCAAAAACCTTTGATGGTATTTTCATAGGTTATGCACAGAATAGTAGTGCATATCGTTTCCTTATGCATAAATTAGACATTCCTGACATCCATGTCAATACAATTATTGAGTCAATGAATGCTTGTTTCTTTAAGGATATATTTCCTTGTAAAAATCCTCTTAAAAGAAATCATGATATTGTTAATAGCAATATATAAGAGAATATAGACCAATAGTCGATAGATGATGAAAATAAGGAAGAACCTAGACGTAGCAAAAGAGGTAGAACGTGTAAGTCATTTGGTCCTGATTTTGTGACATATATATTGGAGAATGAGCCACAAAGCTATAAGGAAGCTATGTCTTCTCCTAAAGCTCCTTTATGGAAAGAAGCCATAAATAGTGAAATTGAATCCATCATGCAAAATCATACTTGGGAGCTGGTGGATCTTCCTCCTGTGTGATACCCCTCGGATCCGAGACACGGGTTGATCAGGCCCAGGCCCAAACCCGAGGGAATATCAAACAATTAA